CTCAGGACTCTAGGATCACACCCTGAGCCAGAGGCAGACACATAACCGCTGAGCCACCCAGGCATCCCTTCATGGCTTATAAATAATAATCTAGTAAAATAGGATTTTTAAAAATCAGGTGAAAGTAATCCCATGGGAGGATAATTCAATATATCATAGTTCTGGCATGAGGTTTTCTAACTTAATCCAATGAAAGGTTTTTTTTTTTGTTTTTTTTTTTTTTTTTTAGGAGATTCAGAGTACTGAAAAGACTGAATGCTCTTTAAGAAATCCTGAAAAAAGTCTATGTATTTCAGCTAAGCTTTTTACAGGTTTTGAAAAGTAGAGTCAAGATTATACTATTAGATGAATATATAGAATCATGTTAACAATGAAGATTAGAACCATACGCTTTAATTCCTAACGTGGGCTTCCTCAGAGAATGTCAGGAGATAATGATCTATAAACTAAGATCTGAAAGATGTTCACAAAATAAGTTATACTTTGGAGGTCAGAGGGAAGAGTGATTCAGGTAGGGAGAACAGCAGGGACAAAAACCCAAAGGCAAGGAAAAGTATTTAATCTATAAAGAATTAATATTCTGTGGTCATGAAACAAAGAATTGGTGGCAAAGTGAGGGTGGATACTAAAAATGGGGCTAGAAAACTAAGGTGGGGTATATCATAAAGGAATCTGATAGGCTGAGTTTAGACTTAATCCTGAAGGCAAAGGGAAACAAGGAATAAATTTTCATCAAGGAAGATGGCCTATCAAGTTTATATTTTTAATTTTATTTTATTAAAAAAGATTTATTTTATTTGAGAGAGAGGGGTAGAGGGAAAGCTGGGGGTGGGAGGAGCAGAGAGAGAGGGAGACAGAAACTTAAGCAGACTCTGCACTGAGTGCAGAGTCAGATATGGGGCTCGATCCCACAATCCTGAGATCACGACCTGATCTGAAAACAAGAGTCAGATATTTAACTGACTGCACCACCCAGGGGCCCAGAGTTTGCACTTTTTAAAGGTATTTTCTTATTTTATTACCACTAATCAAAAAGTAAGTTTGTTAATTACTTCTTTGTTCTCCCCACACACAACTGTAAGCTCTAGGAAGACAGAACTCTTATTCACAATTGCTATCTCTAGCACTTAGCTTATTATCTGCCACACAGTAGATGACCAAAAAATATCTGTTGAATAGATGTTAAAAGCATACAATTCTACAACTTCACTGGTAACACAAAACTGCTGTATTCTGCTTGCAATATGGAGAATGAATGGGTGGGGAAAGGTGGGGGAAACAAGAAGAGGAAGTCCAGTTACTACAGCCCAGTGTAATCGAGTAAATATCACCTGTATTGTCAACACAAAATGACTACTATAAATATAAGAACTTAAAAAGTCTTTGGGAAATTTTCATAAAATAGTGAATGTAATAGTCATTGTTCAAAGTAAACAAGATATGTTTTTAGGGCACTTGGCTGGTTCAGTCAGTGGAGCATGCAGCTCTTGATCTCAGGGTTGTGAGTTTGAGTTCCATGTTCTATGTAGAGATTACTTAAAAGAGAAAATCTTTTAAAAATAACAAACAGAGGTGCCTGGGTGCCTCAGTTAGTTAAGCGTCCATCTTAGGGTCATGAGATCAAACCCAGTGTCAGGCTCCTCCCAAGCTTGGAGCCTGGTAGAGATTCTCTCTCCCTTTCCCTCTTCCCCTCCCCACACGCTGTACCCGCTTGCTCTCAACAAGCAAGCAAACAAAAAGAAGAGGAGGAAGGGGAGGAGGAGGAAGACTAGGAACAAAGGCCAAATAGGTAACGATAGCTCAAACTAGTTGCAGTGGAACTAGAGAGAAGATCGAGGTAAAACTGGCATTACTTAATTACTGAATAGATCAGTGAACCTGTAGATAGCATTAGCATGTTCTTGTAAAAACTGAGGTACCTAAGAGTAATATAATACTAGCTAAAACTAGAGGGTGAGTCCGTCTCTACTCTTAAAATAGCCATGAGCAGGGACACGATATAATTTTAGTCACTTAAGCTAGGACTAGTCACACAAGCTAGTACTGAGAAATTAGGTAACTTGTCCAAGGTTACTTGATTAAGGAAGGGCTGAGACAGGCTCTGGAGAGCTAGAAGAGTGGTTCTCAATTATGGCCGCAGGGGTATCAGAAACACCTGGGGTGGTGGGAGACAGAAAGTGGCACACAGGTAGGGGTTAGAAAAGAAGGGATGAATAGGAAGGGAGAGAGAAAGGAGGAAAGGGAGAGAGGGGAAGAAGAAGAAAGAGGGAGAGAAGAAAGGAGGGAAGGAGATGGAGAAAAAAAAAAAGAAAAACGAAAGTGATTTTAGTTTCATTCTACTGTGCCAACAGAGTCCGCTGTGGTTCCACAATTCCAAGTAAAACCACAACAGTTTTAGGCAGGAAAACTTTCCAAGTATGTAGTCTAAACAGACATTCAACTCTGCCATAAAAATCCTCAATTAAAGCATCATCTAGCCTCTGGACACTGCAACTTGTAGGCATATTGTCAAAATTAAACACTCGGAAAATGTGTGTCTAGGAAAAGAGTGATATTTTCAAAATTTTAATCAATCAGATCAAGCCTCTGGCATTAAACCTTTCAATAACTTCCAATTTTATTTGGCAAAAAAAAATCCAAACTTCTTGCATCTATACAAGGCATCAAACAATTAGAGTTTTAACTATTTTTCTAGCCTCATTTCATACTGACTTTCCCCACCGTCAACTGGCACCAGCCTCATCTCTTTCTGGAACACACTAAGTTCCTTCCTGCTTTGGGACTTTTGTACTTGCTCTTCTTTCACTTAACATGGTTCTTCCTAGATCTCTACTTCTTAAATCTTAAAGATAACCCCTGCAGATGAGGTTTCCCAACCTGCTCTATCTGCATGGGACCTCCCATGCGACTTATTCTCATGGCAGCCAATGTTTTTTCTTCACAGTACTTAATGGCAACTGCAAGCCTCTGCACCAGCAAGTGAGTCCTCTGAGAGGAGGGATCTTATCCTTCAGGCTCACAGTTCTCTCTCAAGTGTTTAAAACACGGCACATAGACGGCACTGAAATATGTTGGGAAGGAGGAAGGGAGAGGGTCAAACTTAGATGCTAGCAGGTGTCCAATAAATATTATTAAACGAATGAGCATGTTTGGATAAATCAATTATAAATTAAAGAACACATAGCAAAACTGGTAATTCTGATTTTATAAAAGTTGACTATAGCAGTAATTAGGGAATGAAGCCACACTTCTCACTTCCCCTAATACCTCTAGTCTATGGTAGTAAAACCATAATGATGAAAACAATTACCACAATTTAATGTAAATTTAAAAGCAGCAGAATATAAAATTGTGTTTAATTTTATACAATAAATTATTATTATTTTTTGAGAGAGAGAGAGAGAGCCTGAGGGAAAGGCAAAGGAAGAGAGAGAATCCCAAGAAGGCTCCATGCCCAGAGCAGAGCTTGATGCTGGGCTTGATCCTATGACCCTGAGGATCATGACCTGAGCCAAGATCAAGAGTTGGACACTCAACTGACAGCCACACAAGTGCCCCTACAATAAATTTTTAAAAAATAGACGGAAATACATCAAAATTATAACAGATTACATCTGGGTGGTCTGATACAGTTTCTTTTTCGCATCTTTCTATATTTTCCAAATGTTCTACAATGAGCATATTATTACATTTATCGTCAGATTATCATACTTTGCTGGATATAAAGTCAGCCGTAACCATGAACAAAGCATTATACTGATCAGTTTAGCAACTTACTATATAATAACTCATTTAAAAAATAACTTTAGGGGCAGCCCGGGTGGCTCAGCGGTTTAGCGCCGCCTTTGGCCCAGGGCCTGGTCTTGGAGACCCGGGATTGAGTCCCACGTCAGGCTGCCTGCATGGAGCCTGCTTCTCCCTCTACTTGTGTCTCTGCCTCTCTCTCTCTCTCTCTCTCTCTCTCTCTGTCTCTCATGAACAAATAAAATCTTTAAAAAATATATCTTTAAATGATAGTCATTAAAGCTTATCTACAGCGAATTTTTATACTAAGCCTTTGCTACTATCACTTTGCCACTTTTTTTTTTCAATCTTGGGAAGTAGTTTAAGCATGGTGGAAAAAACACCTCTGTATTCATTTCCCCTAGAAAATAAAGGTCTAGCCTCTGCCTAGTAGGAAATATGGGAGAAGAGTCTTGAGGGTCCCTTCATGTGCAGTTTTTAACTATGGTACTATCTTCTGTTAAAATGTTTTTAAAAGTTTTTCCTTGTAAGTAGGAACTATTTTAATAAAAAGATCTATTTTTATGAATAATAGCTAAAAGAAAAAGCCAGCTGATCTAATTTCTTAAATTAGGCATTTTAAACTACTGCATCTTAAATATCATTCTTCTGTGTATAATAATCAAAGGCAAAGTGACTACTATGTAGGGTAACTATGCAAATTGATATCTGACAGTGAATCAGGGGCACTACTAATAATTACTAATGCCAGGGCAATATGCATAACACTGAGACATCTCAGGCAAACCAGTCACCCTATTAGGAGGAGAATAACTTGGATGCTGAGTATGCAAACTTAAAAGTTGTTATCAGTTACACGAAGTTCTCCCTCAGAAGAAAGATATATTCCACATGCTAGTGCCTTATAAGTCACTACAGTGAAAGCAGAAGGTGGAAAGGAATAGCAAACATAGAATAAGACAGTTTTAAACTCATTAATTCTTGCAAGGCCCCTTTGCCAAGCAAGCACACATATAAATAATGCCTTCAGGAATTTAAATATTGTCTTTCTGCTCAAATAATATAATAACTCGTATATTTTAAACACATAAAACCGGATAACTTAGTGGATAGATTTTTCTTCCTCTTATTCAGAACTACTTCAATTGAAAGCATGGGGAAAGAGTGAAGAATGGTTAGAAAGAAAAGAAAATAGGCTATATATAGTCTATCTAAAGTAGTTAAGATATGAGAGAAGAATCACTAAATGCCTTTACCCATTCCAGAGTCTTTCTTGGTGCCATCTGATATTATGTCTACATGATCAGAGTCCACATCATAACTAAAGAAATCATTCAAATAGGTCTTCGATCGCTGGCCACCAAAAACATATAAGCAACGATTTTTCTGAAAAATAAGGAAAAAGGGCAAAGAAGGGAGAAAGCAGTCACTTCTATGAAGAATTCAGAATGATCCTTTTAAAATTTAAACCTCTATAAAAGCAATTTTATGCCAGAACCCATGCAATGGAGTACTACGCTAGTATAAAGAGGAATGATGAAACTATATACTAAGAGGTGATCTCTGGGATATTTTGTTAAAGTAAAAAGCAAGGTACAGAATAATGAATGCAGGGAACTGCCTTTGCATAAGAAAGGAAGAAAATGAATGTGTATATGTTTGTTTCTTTCTTTTTTTTTTTTTGTTTGTTTCTTTCTTGAAAAAGAAACAAAGGAAAGAAACTAATTAAAGAAGGGACAGAGCAAGGAAGAAAGAAATCCGATCTCTCCAAAAGTACACTGACTTACAGGTTTTGCCTTTGGAACCATGTGTATTGTTTTTATTTAATTAACTCAAAAGAAAAAAAAATTTTTTTGAAATTTGAAAAAAACAATGAAATAAAACCCATTTTTAATGAAATAAACATATCTGTAAAAATAGGACCACATAAAGACATGATCACATGGAGAAGTAGTAGAGATTTAATTCATGTTTTTTTGACTACCCATTTCTAGCTATAACCTAAACAGAAAAATAATCAGAAAGCAATGTGAAGCAATATTCAGTAATTTTTGCTAGTTTTGTGATTCTGTTACTATTTAGAAAGACATAAGAAGTAATATAATACTATCATTAAGAAGTAGGATTTTAACCTTAAAAGATACATAAAATACAAAATCAAACGGATATTAAATTTTAACTCAATAATTTTTAATTTGAATTGGCCATGACAGTATGACCTAATGATTTTTCTGTTATTAAAAAAGATACTTATATATAATACACATAAATGTGTGTATATAACTATATGTGTAGGTATTCTGGGAAGGGGGCACCCCTATTGGACAAAGAGAAAAACTTGGTTATCAAAAAGAATAATCACAGCACTGGATTAAAAACATCAAATATATAAAAGTCCACAAGCTCATAATAATGCTTAAAAATATACTGGTTAACTTTGGAGTTTCAACTCATTAATATGAAAAGGTGATAAAGAAAAAGAATTAAAACATTTTTATCACCTCTCCTGTGTGGTGTGCACATTAGGGTGGCCAAATAGTTAATGAGGTTAAGTTTTTAGTATTAGAATCAGTTAATAAATACAGAATAAATAACATAACCAGAAAATCACTGTTTTATAAACCCTACATCATGATTATCAATGACTGCAAAAGCCATTTGGTAAAATGTTGGCAAGAACCTTTATTACTGATCAATCAGGCTGCTAACACCTAAACCCATCAAATAATTTTAACATCACCAAAAGTATGAAAGCTACACATAAAATGCATCTTGATAGCTTGCAATCAGACCATCTTTAAGGTATTCTTGCACTTCTCCTTTTGCATTCCCCCTCTCCCCCAAAAAAGAGAGAAAATCTAAAATCAAGCCTTTAGAGCTAACTACCAGCTTATAGGAAATATGGAGACTAAACAATCATACCACTACAAGGATAAAATTAGCTAAATCAAGAATATGGGAAATTCGAGAGCACACATGATTCAGTTTCTTTAACAAGTAAATAAATGATATATGAGGAGGGAAAATAGGAGCAGGGAGTACTGTTACGGCTTAAAATAAATTTAAGAGACATAACAACTAAATACAATACATAAACCCATTCTGGAGTCTGACTTGAATAAATCAACTATAGAAAGGTATTTTTCAGTATTTCAGAAAACAAAATGAATGCAGACTATGTATTAAATGATAATATGAAATTGTTGGTACTTGGGTTGAATATGACAATGGTATCATAATTACGCAAATAAAAAATCCTTATCTGTTAGTGATACACCCTAGTATTTACAGGTGTAATGACACATTGCCTGGCACTTGCCTAGCAAAATAAAATTTCAGAATAAACTTGAAAATCAGAGAAACATTAAAGAAAGAAATGAAATATAAGTGGGATAGATATATGAAAAATGAACAGTGGAATACTGATAACTGTTGAAACAGGTAAGTAAGTACACTCTTCTCTTTACTTTGATATATGTTTAAAATATTTCACAATGTTTTTAAAGTTATGTTAAACAGAAAGAAGCCCAAGTTAGCCTTATGACATCTGAGAAGGTTAAAGAAATGTCTGCATATTGGTTTTGCTAATAAATTTAAATTCTAATTCTATAAAGTCAGTTCTTAATTCTTCATATTTAATGGAGAGTGGCAGAGAGGAAAATAAAACAAAATAATTGATCTTTAAGTTACTAAGAGAAATCAGTAAATAGAAAGGTATAAGAAAGAGAAATAGCTACAGTATTTGTATCAGCAGTAGTTATCTGTAAGTTCTAGATTAGTATTCAAGTAATAACTATTTAGGAATTTCTGTTAATGGGAAGAGTCTTATAATTAACAACCAGTTCACTGCTGAGGAAGTTTTATTTTTGTCTATCATTGTTAACCCTAGTGATTTATTTTTAACGAAAAGTTCTGATCTCTTTCTGAAGATTTAGATCTATTTCTTTTTCTACAGAGATATAATGACAAAATAACAATACAATATATAGAATATTCTTACTGAATGGAATAGCATGCAGTGTCCTATCCGAGACTGGATGTCCTCAGGCCCAGCATTACAGGAGTCCTCTCGAAGAAGTTTCCAAGTTTGACATTGACAGTTGAAAGCAAACAACCCACTGAACTGTGGTTCACTGGCTCTGCTGTCGTCTACGCTCCCATTACATGTCAAAATTCTACCACCAAAGGTGTAGATCATATGCTTTTCTGAGTCCATACACATCTATCAGAACAAGGCAACAGATTGAATAGTTACAGATTATTCCTGTCATACATACTAAAATGAAACCAGTGTGCAGTTTTAGATTCTCAAAAAACTAAACTGTGTCTTAGTAACACTAAATATCACCCCAGATTATCATGTGCACTTACTGTAGTAACGCTCACCGCCTGGCAGATTCCGGATCCCCCTTCCTCCCTTCCTCTCTCTCTCTCTCTCTCTCTCTCTCTCTTTCTTTTAAGGATTTTATTTATTTGAGAGAGAGACAGAGAGAGAAAGAGAGAAAGAGCGTGCACAGCCAGGGTGAAGGCAGAGGGAGAAGCAGACTCCTTGCTCAGCAGGAAGCCCGTCTGGGGATCACAACCCAATTGACTGAGCCACCCAGGGACACCTCAGGATGCATTTCTAAATACTTTTTTGGGTTTCTATTTTTCCTGATGAGAGCAAAATATATTGCTTTCTTGAAACTATATAATCTTTACCAAATCAATCAGTAATACATGAGGTGCTGATTTATACCGAAGAGTAAATGCTAATCATACTTCATGGGTAAATAGTGATCACACCCTTTTATTCTCCTTTTTTTGTTTGTTTTTATTGAAGTTCGATTTGCCAACATATAACACCCAGTGCTCATCCCATCAAGGGATCCCTCAGTGCCCGTCACCCAGTTACCCCAACCCACCACCCATCTTCCCTTCCGCAACTCTTTGTTCATTTCCCAGAATTAGGAGTCTCTCATGGTTTGTCTCCCTCTCTAATTTTTTCCCACTCAGTTCCCCTTCCTTTCATCTTCCTTATAAAAACTCTTTGTATTCTAGGCAAGCATCCCATCCTCTTAGTCATGAACCATTTCATCAGAGGGTAGCTACATCAGTAAGAATGATACAACTAAATTTTTATTTCTGCATTTATTTTGCAAAGCTCTTCAAAACATGTTGTTACAATATAGTAAAACAAACAGACATTTGGAGCAGTCTCCAGACTGACTTCTCTAGTGATGAATCTGCCTCCTTTAACACATTGCTATAAAATCAGTTTTCTTTGAGGTATATTATATAATTTATGTTCAAAAGTCAAAACTGATTCTTTCATTCTTTTTTTTTTCTTTTAAGATTTTATTTATTCATGAGAGACACACAGAGAGAGAGAGAGAGAGAGAGGCAGAACCACAGGCAGAGGGAGAAGCAGGCTCCATACAGGGAGCTTGATGTGGGACTTGATCTCAGGTCTCCAGGATCAGGCCCTGGGCTGAAGGCTGCACTAAACCACTGAGCCACCCAGGCTGTCCCTCTTTCATTCTTTATACTCAAAAAGATCATGGCTTTTCATAAAAATCTCTCTCAGAGGGATGCCTGAGTGGCTCAGTGGTTGGGCGTCTGCCTTTGGCTCAGGGTGTGAACCCAGAGTCCCGGGATCGAGTCCCACTTCAGGCTCCCTGCAAGAAGCCTGCTTCTCCCTCTGCCTATGTCTCTGACTCTCTGTGTCTCTCATGAAAAAATAAATAAAATATTTTAAAAAATCTCTCAGAAAAAAGCCATTTGTCACAAGACAATAAGTTCTAATCAAATTCTATTTCAAAGAATATCTAAGTCCTAGTTGGGAATTAGATGTTGAACACAAATGGCATTTTGGTATTTAAAGAATAAATTGCATATACAAAATATCTATTTTTTGGCTAAGGTACAAATACTAGCCATTATATGTTCAATTTTCTCCTCCCATCAAATTGTGCTATTTATCTATTTTTGTATTGTTTTCAGGAAAAAGCTATTTTTATAATTGTAAATTCTTTTTATTTTTAAAATTGTTTTAAAAAGGTTTTTATTTATTTATTCATGAGAGACACAGAGAGGCAGAGACATAGGCAGAGGGAGAAGCAGGCCCCCCATGGGGAACTGAATATGGGACTCAATCCCAGTACCCCGGGATCACACCCTGAGCTGAAGGCAGACACTCAACCACTGAGCCACCCAGGTATTCCTAAATTTTGTTTTTTTTAAATTAATGTTAAAAAGAAAAGATTCTAGCACCTCCCAATTTTTCTCTAACCACTAAAAAAGATCCAGTCACTTGCCATTTCTTAGGTTTCTGACAACCTTCCATAAATTAAGATGAAAATCTACTATTCTTTAAGGGTGAAATCTTGGTGAATATAGTTCAAAGTATTCCTACTCTTTAATCTTAAATGATTATATCATTAAAAGCAATCCATACATTGCTGAAGATGACTCAGTATGGCCCCATTCATCTACTACATCACTGCCTGAGGTTTCACTGAACCTGAGTTGCATTACCCTGTCCTAAGGACTAAAGGCTCAGATCTCTCCAAACACCTCAGGATCGTGTTGAAAATCATGAGGGGCCCACATTATGGGAGCCATTTAAATTTTTACAAATTTACAGGCTGATACTAATTTTGGCCAATCTCTGTTATCCAGCTCCTATGGTTCTACTTCATGTGATTACAAAAGTAGTTTCTATTTCCTTCCAGGGATATTTAAGCTTAATTTTGATATGGCTTTTCTCATTTGTTATTAGTTATAAAGCATAAACATCTTTATCTTGGTAGCTCTTTCTAGCATACCAGAGCAAACCAACTAAAAAAAAAGAGTGAGAAACTATAGTAGTTTCTCTGATTCTTTCCCGTATCTTAAAATACACAGGACACAAAACAGATATAATTAATTTTATTCCTTTAGGTTGGTTCTTCCCTGGGTAAGATAGGCAGTTTCAACTGGGGTCAATTATCAAAGAAGTGTTAATCACTCTAGAAAACTATGTTGTTCAATCGTTTATGATTTCCTTTTTGTTTTCAATCTCTGAAAAAATTTCTGAGAAGCTAATAACCTATTAAAGTCTGGGTGATAATATTAATATCTTTTCTCTTGAAGACTTCAAGAGATTGCTTAAGTCAAAACTTGGAAGACCAGTCACTCATCTACTCTATCAGGTTAGATATTTAATTCCTAAAATCAAACAAATTGTGGATAGCCACTTATTCCCCACAATGTTTTAAAGTCCCAAAGTCTTTATTTCACTCTGCCACATGAACACAAGACTGGCTAGGATTAGGCTGGGTTCAAAACAATTTTTCTTCTCAGAAATCCGGAAGCTTTCTAAACATTACTCAACCTACCAACCTCAAAAATGCCTCATGTTAATCTGGTCCTTGCTTACTTAGAAAGATAACCAGTATCCTCTGTGGCTTTTAGGATTTTCTCTTAATCCATGACTCTAAAATTTCATGAAGAAAGTACCTAGGTAGGGATATTCCTTTTCATTCATCCTAATCTGCTCCTTGTGTTCCTTTAATTCTAAAAACTGTCTTTCTTCAGTTCCGGGACCTTTCTTCCTTTTTAACCCTGAGCGTGTATGGTGCTTTCAGTTTGCTTCCATTCTCTTTTTCTAGAACTCCTGAAGTTTTTAGAACTTCAGGATGTTTTCTCTGTTCCTTAACATTTCTCTTATAATTTCAGCTTACTAATTTAGTAACTTTTAGAGATGAGAGCTTTTTTTTTTTTTAAGATTATTTATTTATTCATGAGAGACACACAGAGAGAGGCAGAAATATAGGCAGAGGGAGAAGTAGGCTCCATGCAGGGAGCCAAATATGGGACTCAATCCCGGGACTCTGGGATCACACGCTGAGCCAAAGGCAGATGCTCAACCACTGAGCCACCCAGGCGTTCCTGAGGTGAGAGCTTTTTAATCAGTTTATTGAGATTTTTATTTGGCTATCAAATCTTTATCTTGTAATTTTTCTAGATGTTTCTTTTTCATGGATAAAAATTCAGCCTGCTGAATTGCTTTAAAAAGATCACTTAAACTTATCTTCAAGGCTTCTTCACAGTCTATACTACTAGCTGTTAATATTAATTCTTAATTTGTTGAGTTCACTATCCCTGTTTGTCTCATGGTATTATTTCCAAATATTTCTTTGCTTTTTTATTTTTTTATTTTTTGGCAGTTAATCCAGTCCTCTTTGTAGCTGCAAATTCCCATTCATCTACCCTTTCACATACAGCAGCCTGCCTCAAGGGACTGGATGAAGAGAGATGAGACATGGTGGTGTTAAGGGCTCCATAGCAGCTCCCCAGGGCCTCTTGGGCACATTGCTTTATCCATCCAGCACCAGTATCCACATTCAATACCTGACTGTGGACAATTATCTAAGGTAAGTGCTGTTCAGTCACCAACCAATCATCTAATGTTTGCCCCAGCTACATAAACTTTGAGACCTTTTCTTTTTTTAAAATAAACTCTGAGACTCTAGTTGCTAAAATCTTATGGACTCCAGCTTCTTCTGGTTTGATGGAACCCATTTGCTTTCTACCTTACAGGAATTCTCCCCAATTTTTTTAAGTTCCTCAAAGGCATTCTTTCTTGTTTTTAAACATTGTTACTAATATATTCTTTTGCATTTCATAGATTGTGGGGCAAGAGATCTTAGTATTTTATCCTGCCAAACAAGAGAATAAAAATTTTAAAGATAACTTTATGCCTACTGAAGCAAGAGTTATTTTTATTATCTATTATAGGCATTTGTACGGAATCACCAGTAGACAACGCAGTATAATGTGAAATAAACTCTAAGGGCAAGAGTTACTGAGCACAAATTAATTCCACTATATACATATCTGTGCACCAAACCTGATGATCAAACACCAATTTTGGCCCTCCATCAGCAGCAGTATCCTCACTGAGTAACATCCATGTGTTTGTGTCAATGTCATAACGATAGAAGTCACTTTTCAGAGACTTGCTATTCCTCACAGAGGAATCCAAATATCGCCCCAATGTGTAGATTTGCCTTCGTTGAATGTCAATGCACATTTTATGACATGATCTGGCACTAGGACCATTCTGTGGAGAGCAAAGAAAGAAAAAAGAAAAAAAAATTCAAAGAACATATAACAAGAAAATAAAATTCAATGCACTTTTTTTTGTTGACTTTCATTCAAAGGTTTGCAATAAAGTCCTACATAGGGTTAAATCTTACCACAGAAATGCTTAAAATCTACCAGGAGAGACGAGATGAACTATTCTGTATCTGAAGGCACTCTGTTTAGAACACTTATATGACTTCTATTATATACCCACCGTATTTTAGTCATTTGTGCACAGAACTTGATTCTATAGTACATGTTAATCTAAACATACAATTAATCTTTAAAAATGTTTATTAGGATTTCTCATCAGAGTCTAGCACAAAACAGATATTCCAAGAATATCTAGAATTGCTGCATTTCATAACTGGAACTTTAATAAAACTACTAGTTTAATTATCTCCTTTTAAAGATGAGGAAATATGGGATCCCTGGGTGGCACAGTGGTTTAGCGCCTGCCTTTGGCCCAGGGCACAATCCTGGAGACCCAGGATCGAATCCCACGTCGGGCTCCCGGTGCATGGAGCCTGCTTCTCCCTCTGCCTATGTCTCTGCCTCTCTCATCTCTCTCTCTGTGTGACTATCATAAAAAAATTAAAAAAAAAATTTAAAAAAATAAAGATGAGGAAATATAACCTGAAGAAGAAAGGTATCCTCCTAAAAGACAACACCAGAATAAAAATGCATAATTTGACTTCATCGTCCACCCTTTTCATTACATAAAACCAACACTCCTGAGTGAATAAATATTACAATGAGAAAAAAGTATGAAGAACACTGTATTATCAACAAAAATTAATTATTTGAGATCACTTGTATCAGTGGACTGAATGAAAGGTAAAAAAATGGTAGTGTATAAACTAAAAAGAGAGTTCCTTGGAAAGAAAAGAACTTCAATTGGGCATGATCTGATGGGGTAAAGAATGAGAATATTTGTTAAATATCTCCTAAATTGTACCCATAATATTACTGTGTGTATTTCATTCAATCCATATAACAACTCCATAAGGAAATTTACCATTTCATAGAGTCTAAGTAAGCTGTCCACAGTAACAAGATTAGAAAGATAATTTAAAGCCCAGTGTAAGTAGAACCGAAAGCAAAAATAGACTTAATCCAATGTGTGTGGCTATGACTGAGATGAAGACTTTCTACCGCAGAAATAAGAGCTGAAGAATAAGGCAGAAACAGAGCCTGGTGACTCTGTAGAGGAGATTGGATGTAATCTTGCAGGCAATAAAGAATTATCACAGGTTCCTAGAGCAGGACAGAACATTTTTAAAAAAGTATTATAAAAAGAGTATTCTAGCACTGTTACGCAGATTAAATGAATACAAATATTAGGAAGAATAATTTGACATTAGTGCTATCAATCTAGATGTTAAATTGATTTGTATCTGAACTTTAGTATTCATACTATTTACAACTTTAAAACCCATTTTCAAAGATTTTTGTCAAGGAAAATCTCTAGCAGATAAGATGGAAATATTTTTTGAAAGAATTTTCTCCACAATTAACCTCAAAAACAAAGATAGGATAATATATTATAAATCTGTGCCATATATCCTAGAATGTGGAATTTGAAATTTTAATAGGGGAGGTAACAGAACTTCTTCCTCCAGCTGAATTAGCAATAAGGGTTATTAAAATGATGAGCAAATTATACCTTAAGTAAGCAGAAAAAAGGAAAGAAAAGAATAGGAATCAAAAGAAAACAGATAAAAAAATAGAGATACTAACAAAGCTGGTTTCCTGAAATATTAATAGAATTATAAACCACTAGCAAGACTTATTTTTTAAAAAGGAAAATATGAATTGCTAAATATGAGAAATGAAAGTAGGAATATCACTTATAGGCTCACTACAAGTTAAAAAGAAAAAAAGGGACTACTATGGAAAACAAAGGTAAAATCTGACAATGTAAATAAAATGGACATATTCCTCGAAAAATTATAAACATACTAAAATTAACATGAGAAAGAAAATCTGAAGTCACTATATCTACTGAAAAATTGAATTCATAATTTAAAATCTTCCCACAAAGAAAATGCCAGTCCTTGATGTACACTGGTAAATTTTATCAAACACTTGAAGAAGAAACATTACTCCTAACTTATTTTATGAGGACAACAGAACACTAAAGGCAATTAACAATAGTACTACAAAGGAGGAGAAGGAAAAATAATTTACAGGCAACCAGCAACCAGTACACTTCATGAACAGATATAAAACTAATCTTTAACAAAATATTATCAAATAAAATGCAGCAACATATAAAAGAGTATTTCTTTTTTTTTTAAGATTTTATTTATTTATTCATGAAAGACACAAAGAGAGAGGCAGAGACATAGGCAGAGGGGAAGGCAGGCTCCCTGCAGGGAGCCTGATGTGGGACTCGATCCTAGGACCCTGGGATCATGACCTGGGCCAAAGGAAGACGCTCAACCACTGAGCCACTCAGGTGCCCCTAAAAAGACTATTTCTTAACTAAAGGGGGTTTATTTTTTAATTTTTTTTATTTTTAAGATTTTTAAAAATTTGTTATTTATTCATGATAGAGAGAGAGAGAAAGACAGAGAGAGAGAGGCAGAGACACAGGCAGAGGGAGAAGCAGGCTCCATGCGGGAGCCCGATGTGGGACTTGATCCCGGGACTCCAGGATCGCACCCTGGGCCACAGGCAGGTGCCAAACCACTGAGCCACCCAGGGATCCCCCTAAAGGGGGTATATCTCAGGAATGCAAAGTTAATTTTACATTAGAAAACTGATCAAAGGGATCCCTGGGTGGCGCAGCAGTTTGGCGCCTGCCTTTGGCCCAGGGCGTGATCCTGGAGACCCGGGATCGAATCCCACGTCAGGCTCCGGTGCATGGAGCCTGCTTCTCCCTCTGCCTGTGTCTCTGCCTCTCTCTCTCTCTCTCTCTCTCTCTCTCTCTCTCTGTGACTATCATAAAAAAAAAATATGGAGGGGTTTTTTTTGATATTGTATAATAAAATTTCAACATTAGGAAGATATGCAGAACTCAGGAAACCAGTAGTTTTCAAGTGACCAATGCATGGGTAAAAAAAAAAAAAAACATGCATGGATAAAAGACCGATTCAAAATGCAAGATATAACAATTGATTTGAATGTAACAGAATGCAAAACATTAGCTGATATGGTTTCAGAGTCTATAATGCAATCACCTTTAAGAAAGAACTACTTGTCAATTTGGGATATGAGATCAAAATAGACCACGTGCAAATATCAGAAAAGGCCATTAAAATACTACTCTCCTTTCCAAAAACATCTATGTGAGGTCCAATTTTCTTCCTATATTTCACAGAAAACAAGTCTCAAGAGTTAAACACAGAAGCAGATATGAGAATCTAGCTGTCTTCCACAAAGCTTGACATTAAAGAAACTCATAAAAATGCAAAAGTAAAGAAAAATATTATTTTTTCAAACCTTTATAAAAATTTACTGCCTATCTGGGCAGCCGAGGTGGCTCAGTGGTTTAGCGCCTGCCTTCGGCCCAGCACGTAATCCTGGAGACCCGGATCAAGTCCCACATCAGGCTCCCTGCATGGAGTCTGCTTCTCCCTCTGCCTCTGTCTCTACTTCTCTATCTCTCCTCTCTGTGTTTCTCATGAATAAATAAAATCTAAAAAAAAAATAAAATAAAAAACTTACTGCATATCTATATGAACATTTAAAATAATTATTCTCGGGCAGCCCAGGTGGCTCAGCGGTTTAGCACCACCGTCACCCCAGGGCGTGATCCTGGAGACCCGGGATCGAGTCCCATGTCGGGCTCTCTGCATGGAGCCTGATTCTCCCTCTGCCTGTGTCTCTGCCCCCCCCCCCCCGTGTCTCTGATGAATGAATAAATAAAATCTTAAAATAAAACAATAAAATAAAATAATTATTCTCTTTAAGAGCTGGGTCTTTTATTAACTCTCAATCTCCTAAATGTGTTACTAGATACATATTTAAGTAAATTAAAGTGTACTAAATTAGTACTGCTTCTTAATTGTATATCATACTTTTAAAACACATGCTCTGGGGTGTCATCAAACAATAATTTGTACTCACTGGCATAGAAAATAAAGTAAGATATATGAAATACTAACTATTCAATTTTGGAAGGAATGAACATTTATCCTAGAGCCATCTACTACCACTATTTATTCATAGAAAGATCAACACAAGTTATTTAGGATCTATATAAGGAAAGTAATAATAAACTATAATAAATCTGAACTCCAGTATTGAGTCACTACTAACTTCAAAATTACAGGTACAAAGTCTTCTCATCAAAATAATTTCTATATTTTTCCAATATTAATTTTAAATATTAATTGCATTCCAAACATTAATATGACCTTTGAGTTCTCCTGGAAATCACCCCCCTCTTGCCAAAACAGCCACTCTCCTGATTTTGTATTTATCTTCCCATGCCTTCCTCCAGCATTAACTTTTCATTTAATTTATCTCACCTATTTGCTCACTAAAGAATAAACATATGACTCATGCTTTAAGGAATTCAGAGTCTAGGTAGGGAAACAAATGTAAACTAATCATTTGAGGAATATAAGTGGGTGCATGAAAGGAAGCTTCTAATTCTGAGTAGAAAAGTCAAGAAAGGCTTCACCAAAAAAGTCTGAATTGAGTTTTAAGAATAAGTAGGTGTTTACTAAGTAAAGCAAGGTTCATGGGAGAAGGTGCCCTCTATTAATTTCAAACAAAAAACATTATTGCCAAGGGACACAGGTGAGAAAGCTGAATAATTCCAGCAACTAAAGATGTGGCTGGCACTTAAAATCAGGAGATGAGGTAAGAAACGTAAAGGGGAACCAAATCATGTTGAAAAATTTGAAATTTATAACCTAAGCCAAAGGAACTAGAGTTGATAACTTCTCTTATCATTATGATTACTGTTGCTGTTATTCACACATCTCTGTATCTATGCCCTTTGACAGTGCCCCTTACTATATAGTGACTCTAGCCTTGGCCACATACATGACTTCCTTTGGTCAATTTAGTGGAATGCTCTTATCTACTTCTTTCTCCTTGCAGCCCTTGCTCCTGACATGAGAACAAGCCCCAGCTAGCCAACAGAAAGGTGCGCAGCTATGTAAAAACAGAGCCAAGTAGTCCCCACTTGAAGCTACTCTAGATTAGCTGACAGCCAGCTGACTCTGGGACACATGAGCAAGTTCAACCAAAACCAAAAGAATGATGCAGTCAATCTGTAGCCTATAATATGCCACTGAGGTTTTGTAAGTGCTTGGAAGAGATAGAATATAAGAGATAAATGAAACAGGAACTGAAGCTTACCATAGGGTTTAAGCAGGTGTCACATGGCCAATATGTTTTTTTTTTTATTTTTTTTCTCCAGTATGTTTTTTAATGAATGGAAAATAGACTGCAGATTAACAGTGGAGGCAAAAGTTTAAGAAAGAAACCATAATGTTCGAATTAGTGCCGAAAGGGGTGAAAAAGACATCTGAAATGCAGTACTGGTGCTAGAACTTGAAGAAGTTCAAACTTCATGAAGTTGAAAACTAATGCACTAATTAGACATATTCAATGAAGAAGAAGGAAAATTTCAAGATGAATCCCACACTTACTGCACAAATAATTACAGATGCAATCAAATTAGATTTAAAATAGTTTAAAGAACCAAGTTAGGAAACTTTTTAGATCTCTATTTTTGTTGAAGATAGAAAAATCACTTTAGAAAATGGTACTTTAATACTGAAAGACAAAAGCCATTTTTACATATTTTCACAGGGATAACAAATAGAAATCAAAATTTTAAGTTATCTTTGAAAAAAATTAAATCTACCCAAATTAATCACTGAAACATGCTGACTAAGCAGAATCCAATTACTTACAAATAAAGACAGCACTGATCTTTCTGAAATGGGCATCCTAGATTAAAAGCAATGGGTTTTGAATTAGATCTTTCCCCTACTTTTCATTTTCAGCTCCTATCATTTTGTAAAAGTTTATATTTCACCTTGTAATCTGAAACAGCTTAGGTGGAGGATACAATTAAAAATTCTATGAAGATTTGTGAAAAATAAATGAATTAACATTTCCTTTATACTAGTGTATAATTATGCTATAATTATACTAGTGTATAATTCAAAGCCATAAATCTAAGCCATCTTATTCACTAAGGAAATGTGGTATGTATACTGATAGACACACATGTGAATACAATCTTAGTCAAAAATAAAATACATATCATTTGTGAAAACTGATATATAGTGAAGCAGTAAGGGACTAAAATAGTGAAAAGGTAAGGACATTAAAAGTCTATTTTGGGGATCCCTGGGTGGCTCAGCGGTTTGGCGCCTTCCTTTTGTCCAGGGCGCGATCCTGGAGTCCTGGGATCGAGTTCCACGTCGGGCTCCCGGCATGCAGCCTGCTTCTCCCTCCTCCTGTGTCTCTGCCTCTCTCTCTCTCTCTCTCTCTCTCTCTCTCTCTCTCTCTCATAAATCAATCTATCTATCTATCTTTAAAAAAAATAAGTCTATTTTTCCAGAGAAAATCAAAATAAGTTGAATGCTTGAAATAAGAGGAGAAATGACAAGGACATGAGAAAAAAAAGATCATTACAAAATTATATTTCCAGACTGAAGTGGTTAAAAACTATTATATTCGATACCCATTTCTACTTATCTCTATGAACTAGATTTGTTCATGTACCAGTAGTTGAAGAACCAGGTACAGAAGCTAGAATGAAAGAATACTTAAACGAAACTTATTTACCACAAATTCTTCTGCTACTATTATGGATATAGAAAAGAATACAAATCATCTAGAAAAAGAGGTATACACCCCCACCCCTATCATAGTACAGATGGATGAAAAGTCTGAGAACTTGCCTCTTTTTCAGTGTCTCTAGAGATACATGTCCACTGGTTCTCCTTCACACTGTACGCCCAGAAGTCAGCAAGATCTTGTGTTCCATCCCAGCCACCAAACAAATAAACGGTCTCTATGAAAATTAGAAAAATATGTATAAAAAAAAACCTTAAGGATAAAATTTAAGTATATGTACCCAGACCTAGCCATTGTTTCTAAGATCACTTAAGAAGGCACATCTAAATAAACTTAAAAGTGAAATTTGTAAATGAGTTAACATTTCAAAAATATATACTAGACTAGTTATCTCCTACACAAGGTATATGGAAAGGCTGCTGCAGGACCACTACTTTGAGAGACTTATAAACATACAAATAACTAAGAGATATTGCCCAACATTCTTTCATAAGTCTTTGGTGAGTATGTATTTTCTCAAGTATCCAGAGTGAATCTGACGTGCTGCCAGTTTAGGAGTCTGTGTTAGGCCATGAAAGGTTTACATTTAGCAGTTTCTTAGCAATGCAGCTTCAGACTGTAAAAAAAAAAAAAAAAAAAAGAAATCCCAAAGGAATAGATGGTCTAAAATAGAACATAAATACACCTAGCTATTTCTGAAAAAAAGCTTCACATCAAAACCGTTTTCCCTCTATTACAGTATCAAAAACAAGAGTTAAAACTAGCTATGAGTTAAAGTTAGACACCTTAAGAATAAGGTGATGTACAGCTTTGGCATTCCCATGGAAACTGGGGAAATCTTTTCCAAATATGTTATGGTAGGTTTAACTCCTCAGAAATCAACTTTTAAGTCATTCTAGGTATTTTAGAAATTTGGTTTCTTCCAATTCTGAAATGTCTCTGATATCCATGGACTGTCTCACTGCAACAAAACGGATTTCCTGCCCTGTGAACAGTGAAAATCTTTATACATAACACTGTGTATCATCCACCTCCTTCTTTATTAACAATGCCTTTCCTTTCTTCCAATTATCTTCTCCCTTTTATTTTTTATTTTTTAAAATTTTTATTTATTTATGATAGTCACACAGAGAGAGAGAGAGAGGCAGAGACACAGGCAGAGGGAGAAGCAGGCTCCATGCACCGGGAGCCTGACGTGGGATTCGATCCCAGGTCTCCAGGATCACACCCTGGGCCAAAGGCAGGCGCTAAACCGCTGCACCACCCAGGGATCCCCTCTTCTCCCTTTTAAATGTCTTATGTCTACTGGTTACACAAGTCTACCAATTATTTTTTAAAGCTATGACATTTTTTCTTTCTTTTTTTTATTTTTAAGGATTTTATTTGAGAGAGAAAGAGAGAGAGAGAGAGAGAGAGAGAACGAGTGGGAGGAGGGGCAGAGGGAGAAGCAGTCTCTCCACTGAGCCAGGATCCAGACATGGGGCTCAATCCCAGGACCCTGAGATTCCTGAAATAGCCAAAGTCGATGCTTAACCAACTGAACCACCCAGGCACCCCTCTTTCTTTTCTTTGTTTAAAAAATGAACTCTACACCCAATGAGGGACTTGAAATCATGACTTTGAGATCAAGAGTCACACGGTCTACTGACTGAACCAGCCAGGTGCCCTTTCTTAATAAATTAAGTAAGACGTACAGGAACATTATAAAGCTATCTACTCCCTAACTGGCATGACCTAGGCCTATATATGTTGAGGCTGTCATCTAAGTTAGATCCTACCACGAAGAGTTACAATTCAAAGTGTACTCAGAAATACTGTAACACCATGAAGAAAATCCTTGCCATTCACAGAGTTGGACAGTCTTCTAAGAGATTTTTGTCATATTTTCATATAATTTTAAACTCTAAGTGAAATGTCCCATTCTATGCCTCAGAAGCTACAGAAATCAAAACAATTCTTCTGGGTAAGAGCATATAATTGGAATAGGACTGAGTTCCAGTGCTAACTGGGTAATCAAATCAAATAAATACAGGCCACATAACCTTCCTGGGTCTTAGTTTTCTCACTTACAAAACTCTTAGTATTTTGGTGTAGTTCTCCAGATATAAGTTACATGAAAACATTCTGAAGGCTATGAAGCACAAACAGCATTTTTACCTTTAAGACGTACAAAAATAAAATATACTCTGTAGTTACTAAGTGCCACAGATGCAATAAAAACAGCATTATTGTATCCAGTGCCATGTCTAAGTCAGTACCTAGAACATTTCTGGCTCTGCACAAATGTGAAATAACAGCAATTATTTTAAACTGTTAAAAAACTATCATATCTCAGAACTATAAGGTAATCCATTATCATTAGTTAAGTAACATTGTTTCCCAAATGGCATGCAGTAATACCAGATACTTCAAGTTTTACAGGAAAAAAAAATTAAAGAATTTTCATCTGGCTTAAAAATTATTTGCCAAGGCCTCAACTGTAAAGACAATTAACCCTGTTAAATTCTGAAACCAGAAGAGGAAGGGGTAATATAACTAAAATAGCAATAGCAATTGACCTTTTGTTTTATAGTGTTTCTGGGTACCCTCTGGATAAGGTTACCCTGGTTCATTAACTTTAATAACCCTTCCTCTTGGGCTCTGGGTTCTCAATGTTCTTTCTGAAAAGCAGGTCTCTTTGTACGCATAAATTCTCACAGCAAAGAAAACCCACATTTCTACAACAGCCTCATTGATAGCTGTGCAAAATAAAATCTGGCAGAGAGCAAGCATCCCAATGGAATTAATCCAAGATGTCATTCTTGTCTGTGAATGCTTTGTAGTCCCAGTTGAAGTTTAATAGTAAAATTGAATGAATCGGATGGAAACAGGACCTTTTGACATACCTGAATAAAATGCATGACAAAATTTTAATTAATCATCTAATCATTTAAGTTATCATTCAGAGACGAAATATTATCTAGAAATAAACAGAGGCTGAGGTATTATTTTATGCATAAAGGATATCAAAAATTTTAAAGATTACAGAAATAATTGGAGAGAACTGTAATAAGAATTAAGAAAACAGAAAAAAGAAAACACTATTTGCAACAGGGTCCATTCTCACGCTTATCGGTTATGTAACAATTCACGTACATCCCAGGCAGTACAGTCCTCCTCAAGCAGCAGTCCTTTCTCTATGTTTTTTTCTTAAAGGAGTACAGGCTATTGCAACTATTCATTTCTCCTGGCACTCAGAGGAAGGTTCAGTCCATCAGCGCTAGTCTGGACTGACAAGGTATTTTACAGAATAAAAAGAAAGAAAACAGTTCCTATCCTCAAGGAGCTTACAATCCAGTCAAGAATATAACATAAGTACATAAATCACTGTACTGTAGAGTGGACTAAATGCCAACAGAAAGGTAAAAAGCATCATCTGAGTTCAAAAGAGAGAAGAGAATATATCTGAAGGGACTCTGACCTATGCATCAGAAGGTGGCTCTGGGGGCACCTGGGTGCACAGTCAGTTACACATCAGACTCTTGATTTCTGCTGAGGTCATGATCTCAGGGGTCATGAGACTGAGTCCCATTTAGGGCTCCATGCTGAGTGTGGAGTCGCTTGAGATTATCTCCCTCTCCCTCTGCCCCTTGCCCCGCTCACATCCATCCTCTTTTTGTCTTCTCTCTCTCAATAAATAAATCTAAAAAAATAAGAAGAGGAAGAAGGAGGAAGAGAGGAAGAAGTGGAAGCAGCAGTGGCTCTGTTGGTAGAATGGGAGAAAGAGAGGAGAACTTTTCAAGCAGGGTAAAAAGTATAACAAAGGAACAGAGGCAGAAAAACACATGAGAAATTTTTTTGTTAATGTATGTTTGTTTTTTTAGAAATGTTTTGAAACACAGGACTCTAAGGTAGATCTCAGACAGAACTACAGCTCTACCACCACAGCTGTGTAACAACCATTGGGGTCCTTAACCACTGGTATCCTCATGTCCATTTTTTTTTTTTTTAATTTATGACAGTCACAGAGAGAGAGAGAGAGAGAGAGAGAGAGAGAGAGGCAGAGACACAGGCAGAGGGAGAAGCAGGCTCCATGCACCGGGAGCCCGACGTGGGATTCGATCCCGGGCCTCCAGGATCGCGCCCTGGGCCAAAGGCAGGCGCTAAACCGCCGCGCCACCCAGGGATCCCGGTATCCTCATGTCCAAATGGCATACCACAGCACCTAGCTCATAAAGCAACTATGAGAATTAAATTATATAATACAAGCAAAGTGGTTAAAACCGTGTCATGAGTAAATGCACTGTTCAATTTAAAAGAACACAAAAAGTACCAGGTTGAGATGAAGTTAAAAGGACAGGTAGTGGCCAGATCATGGAAGGGGTTAAATGACAATATTAAGGTTCTGAACTCAATTCCACAGACCATGGAGTAGCTTGAGAAGATTCCAAGCAGAGATGTAACAAGGGCAGCTCTGAATGTGCAGCACCATAGGACTCGACCAAGAAGGAGAAGCGAGCAAGAAAGTGGGATTGGAAGTAAAGTGACCAATAATAGCCTGTGTTCAAAACGTCAAACCAACTTTATTACGAGATTAAATGAATCAATCATCAATCAATCAGTCATATCTGAGGTCACAAAACTAAAATTCAACCATACTAACTCTACAGCTGCTTACCATCAGCATACCAATATACACATATATATTAGAAATAAAGTAGAAATATTAACACCATTCTGCACAAAGAAGAAGGCTTTTTATTGTATGAGTCCAATTGCAAGATCTATGCTTCTACTCTGATTCTTAAGGGTGAATCAGACTGTGCTGACTAAATAATCCTCCACAAGATGGCACACTATTTTCATACTTAAATCCATGTTTCCACTTTGAAACAATATAGAATGCACACACTATACATTCAGATGGCATAGGCCCAACCTTAAACAAAATTTATGCACCAAAAAGAAGGGGTAAGAGAAGAGTTAACAGGATAATGAAGGAGGTTAACTTAATTCTTAGTTTAATATAGTCAGCTAGAGAAAAACAAATGAGACGGAAAAAAAGTTTTAAGAAACAATAATTTATACTCAAGATAAAAATGAAACCCCTGGGTGGCTCAGTGGTTTAGCGCCTGCTTTTGGCCCAGGGCGTGATCCTGGAGTCCCGGGATGGAGTCCCACATCCGGCTCCCTGCATGGAGCCTGCTTCTCCCTCTGCCTGTGTCTCTGCCTCTCTCTCTCCTCTGTGTCTTTCATGAATAAATAAATAAAATCGTAAAAAAAAAAAGTATCTTAATGTTCTGCAGTAATTCCCAAAATACGGCATTAAAACAAAAGTGCACTGAAACTCCAGAAATACTCCACGGTTTACAACAAAAATCAAACATATAACCCCCCCCTCAACACACACACACACACACACACACACACACAACAGAGAGAGAGAGAGAGAGAGAGAGAGAGAGAGAGAGAGAGAGCTAGAAGGGGCTGCACATTACTTTTAGATTACTAATTTGATCTATGAAGCAGCCTCCCTTCCCTCATGTGTCACTAACTCTGTTTATATTAAACCTGTGGAAAAAAATAAATATAGGGGGATCCCCGGGTGGCGCAGCGGTTTGGCGCCTGCCTTTGGCCCGGGGCGCGATCCTGGAGACCCGGGATCGAATCCCATATCGGGCTCCCGGTGCATGGAGCCTGTATGTCCCTGCCTCTCTCTCTCTCTCTCTCTGTGACTATCATAAATAAATAAATAAATAAATAAATAAATAAATAAATAAATAAATAAATAAATAAATAAATAAATAAATAAAAAATAAATATATATATTAAACCTGTGGCTAATGTCTATTTTCTCTGCTACTTGGTTATTATGGCTGGTAACATTTAACTTCTGCAATGAAGGGAAGAAGTACTTTTGTGCTTCTTTTATTTTAAAATGTATAATTTTTAAAATAATTTGCTTTCCATTGCAAATTTGCTTTCCTCACCTGTTTGAACATCAATAACCATCTGATGGCCCCCTCTCATTCCTGGTCGGTTATCTTCTCCATCACCTAAGGAAGAAACAAGTATTTTCTTTAAAAAGAATAACTGGAAATAGTAACTGCATTTGTAAGTCTGCAATGAGTAGTAAAATTAACACACATTTACTCTTTCAATATTAAAAACAAGTAAAAAGACTCAAAAGAAATAAATGTAACTATGTTTATAATGACCTTGCTCTTTTTTCCAATGCTTTCAGGCTATATTAATGCAACAGGAAACTATTTTCAATGTATTTATGACCAGTGCCATAAAACAGCAAGGATGCAGGATAGTACAAAAAACATAAGACAAAAAATTCTATAAAATACTGGAGTGAGGGATCCCTGGGTGGCGCAGCGGTTTAGCGCCTGCCTTTGGCCCAGGGTGCGATCCTGGAGACCCGGGATCGAATCCCACGTCAGGCTCCCGGTGCATGGAGCCTGCTTCTCCCTCTGCCTATGTCTCTGCCTCTCTCTCTCTCTCTCTCTCTCTGTGTGACTAACATAAATAAAAATAATTTAAAAAAAAAAAAACTGGAGTGATAGGGACGCCTGGGTGGCTCAGCAGTTGGGCATCTGCCATCAGCTCAGGGTGTGATCCTGGGACCCAGGATTGAGTCCCACATCGGGCTCCCTGCATGGAGCCTGCTTCGCCCTCTGCCTCTCTCTCTCATGAATAAATAAATAAAATACTGGAGTGACAAAGTGAAGGTGGTAAGCAGTTACAGAATTAGATCTCAGGTCTCTATTTCAGGAATCCCTAATTAATATAATGAGCAGTTTTAAAGTTCATACAACTAAGCTATTGAAAACCAACATGTTATCAAGTTTTCTACTAATTTATATTACTACATAACTTACAAACCATTTTGAGTACTGACTGAGAAGTGTAAGATTTACTTCCCTTTGATTCCTATTTCCAACATGGAGCTTAACAGGTGGTTTGAAATATAATCACAGAAACTTCAAAACTTCTGTAGAACTATTGTTCAACTTTACTGAATCTTACTTTATGCCAAATCTTATATAAACAAAGATATACCTTCATTTCAATGGTTCAACAGGTTGCAGGATTCTAATGTCTGTCTTGATATAAACCAGAAAATCAAAGGTTTTCTTTATAATTCTCCTATTATTTGAAATATATTACTTCTAGCTACCAACTTTCTCTATCTCAGCTTTTTCCTGTATAAAATAGAGATCATCTAAGTTTTTACTAATTCTGCTGCGGTACTATGAAAAAGACTGAAATGTCAGTTCTTATATGGAGAAAATAACATGCAAACCTGAAGCATTCATTCCATTACTAACTTTACTACTGTATTTAGAGGCTATTCATTCAGAAGTTCTCCACAAATTCTTTCTCCTTTCCAATAGTTAGGTTAATATTTTGCAGCTCATTATCACTGAAGTTTTATCTTTTTCTTCCTTCTTCCCCCTGGTCAGTACTGCCACTTTCAAGAACAGACTAAGACAATAAAATAAATTTATTGTCAATATGTTTGCATTTTATATATTTAACCCATTAGTTTTCAAATACACAATTACAATCTGTCTGCTACAGCATGTGTTTCTCTGACAAAAATGACCTCAAAAATGACTGACAAAACAGAAATTATGGAGGTTCATAAGCAATTTTCTCTAGTGTATTAACATTTAACACTATCAGGGGAGAGCTTTCTCCCAATTAAAGAGAAGTGCTGGGGATCCCTGGGTGGCTCAGTGGTTTAGCGCCTGCCTTTGGCCCAGGGCATGATCCTGGAGTCCTGGGATCGTGTCCCACGTTGGGCTCCCTGCATGGAGCCTGCTTCTCCCTCTGCCTGTGTCTCTGCCTCCCTCTCTATCTCTCTCTCTCTCTGTGTCTCTCATGAATAAATAAAATCTTAAAAAAAAAAAAAAAGAGAGAAGTGCTTAGCAATTTATAAAGATTGACAGAAAAAAGCTGACAGTCTGCCACTGAACTACTTTCCTTTAATGCAAGTAACTGGACTGCTGCTACACTTTTCACTATACTCACCATCTGGCAAAGCAGTGAGTCAAGATAAAGAAGTGACAAATACTTTCCCCTCTATGAAAAACAATGAATTAATGAAGAAGACTATGCTCTGGATCAGATTTTAAGTTTTGATAAATACCCTCTAAGGACGACAATGCAAAGCAGGAAGCATGAGTCCCAGAGTTTAAGGCTCCAAACTCACTGTGATGCTCAATATAAATGCCTATAGAGTTAACTGTACTAGTATTTATTTTTATTAGAGTTACTACACTAGTTCCATTAGTATCTGCTTAAAAAGTTCAATAGATTTAGAATGTTATGCCCATTTCTACTCTTCTCATAAGCTCTGTTCACACTTTAGTGAGCAATTCTGCAGAACTGAAGGTTTATCAGGAACATATATGGCATTACAACACTAAGCCTGTAATTTTATAGTACCTCTATAAAAGTAGCTTATGATGGTATTCTGTGCAAAAACTACCCAGCCTTCTGTTTGTAGTGGTAAAACAAAAAGGTTTGAAAGAAAAGTTTAATATAGTAAACTAATTCTGCCATCTAGTTAAGGAAACGGTCTTTTCTTAAACACTTGCGTTTCCCTAAGAACTGTAAAATCTGGGTTACCTTGGGGGAAAAATGAAACTGACACATTAAAGCAAAAGCACTCACAACCTAGAAAAGGCTTACCTTTGGTGCTTTTTGGAATGATCTGACTCCATCGTGGCTTATATTCCTGCTGACTGATGTACTGATTAAACAAACCATCTGCAAATATCAAAGAATGAGAAAGAATTATTTATATTTTAACTAGCTTATACTTTTTATCATAGCAAAAAAGACAAAAAGCTGACATTAAGGGAAATTACTAATACGTCACTAATACGCTAGTAATAGTACATTTTCAGAAAACATGTCACTTCAGTTTTCACTGCTATCTCAAATATAAAGTATTAGTTGACACAACCATGTCAACAAATTGTTTTAGTGGCAGACTATACTAAATTTACTATGTGTTCCCCATTTCTGTCACTACTAATATAAGAAAGCTAGAGAAGAAAATGAGTGCCTCAACAACCTTGGTCTGGGCCCTTATATCTTCAGAAAAAACAAAAGTAATTGTTTAAAGTGAAAATTCCACTTTTATATAATTTTGAGTACAAAACCAGAGATAAAAGTACTAGTACTAGTATAGTATAGTTATTGAATAGTTAAAAATGTTAAAATTCACTCTGTCTTAGTTAAGACACACTAAATATGATTTAATTCATGAAACAGTATTATGAACTAGGTATTATCATCTCCATTTTACAGATGGGGAAATGTGTGTTTAGAGAAATTAAGGAATTTACCAAAATCATGCAGCTCTTAAGTGGTAGGCAGAGACTCATGTTTCACTCTGATTTACTTCTGAATTTATTTCATCAATAAATTCATAATCTATTTCTTATGAGGAGTTGTTACATTAGCTGCCATAGTGTTATGGAAATTGAACTCCCCATATATAACCATTTCATACCAAATAATTATCAAGCCCTAATCCCATGCCCCTCAACAAAGATTAGTTTAAGAATGGTGTGGAACCCAATTCTGACTAATGTATCCGATGTTTCCTTTGCTTCTAAACAGACATACAAAGAAGAAAAATCTCCTTTTATTCCGGAAATTTTCCTATCTGTACGCAATGTACATAACTGCTACAGCTAATTTGTAGAGGTATGAGAATGAAGTCAATTCAATAATGATGACAACGTAGAGATAAGAAAAGAAACTGGATCACAGAATCAACCAACCATGAAATCTACCTCTGGACTTCTTGTTATATCATAAAATAATATATTCTTACTTTTCAAATAAGGGTTTTCTCTTACATGAATCCACATAGATTATAACTTATAAAGACAACTTTCCTATAGATTCTATTATTTGGCTCCGATCTCAATCTGAAAAACCCTTTTCCCTTTTGCTTCATTAAGTCTCTGAACATAAGTACTTTTCCAAAGAATTTATAAGTAAAACTGTCTGTTCTCTTTGACCTATTCACTTGTCAAACACTGTGTAATGCACAGACATCTCCCTGATTTCTCTCTTTTCTAGGTGATTATTAAGCTCAACTGCAACCACACCCTTAAGGTTTCAAGTCTTTTCAGATGGTTTTAACTGAAAACTTCCACACTTTCCTCTAGTTGCTTTTTTCCTTTGCCTTCAGGACTTAAAAATTCTTGCAAGAAGAAAATTTACCTATTCAACAACACATGAAAAAAACCCCAAGACTTTGGAAAACAAAACTTGCCATACCCGATCATTCTACTACATATTAAAACAAATACAACATTAAAGGATAAAACTAAAAGAGCTGAAAAAATTATTTACGATTTATTTTTTCTTTTATATTATTTATTTATTTATTTATTTATTTATTTATTTATTTATTTATTTATTTATTTATTTATTTATTTATTTATTTATTTATTATGATAGACATAGAGAGAGGCAGAGACACAGGAGGAGGGAGAAGCAGGCTCCAGGCTAGGAGCCTGACGCAGGACTCGATCCCGGGATCGAGTCCCCGGGATCGCGCCCTGGGCCAAAGGCAGGAGCCAAACCACTGAGCCACCCAGGGATCCCCTATTTACAATTTAAAGGAAACAATGTTATCTCCTTCTTAAATGAAGACCCTTTGGCTACTGTGGCTCAAGTTTACTATTTATTTATTTATATTTTTAAAGACTTTATTTATTCATGAGAAACACAGAGAGAGAAGGAGAGAGGCAGAGAGAGACACAGACAGAGGGAGAAGCAGACTCCATGCAGGGAGCCCAACGTGGAACTGGATTCCAGGTCTCCAGGATCAGGTTCTGGGCTGAAGGCGGTGCTAAACCGCTGAGCCACCAGGGCTGCCCTAAAGTTTACTTTTTATGTTTCATTTCTTCTCTGAAATGCTGGTTTGCCACTACTCCAGGTTACTTAAGCATTCCTGTTGGTTGGAGTGACTCTGTATAAGCAATGACTTGTTTGAGAAGCTAGCTGTTCTATCAAAAAAAAAAAAAAACAACAACAACAAAAAACAAACCAAACACCTCCTCTTTTGAAAGAAATCATGGTTTAACACAAGACAAAAGCTAGAAATCTATAAATTCCATCCCTCTCAAGTCCTTCTACACTCTCAACTCTCCAACCCTATTATTAGCTTCTTGACATTGATCCATGTTATAATATTAAATCATCTACTCCAAACAAAAAATATTATAACAACTTTAAAAAATATGTATTTGCACTTTATAGAGAAACATGATATATTAAAGATGACTCTCATTTAATCTATTCTAATATGCGTTATTGGGATCCCTGGGTGGCGCAGCGGTTTAGCGCCTGCCTTTGGCCCGGGGCGCGATCCTGGAGGCCCGGGATCGAATCCCACGTCGTCCCGGGTCGGGCTCCCGGTGCATGGAGCCTACTTCTCCCTCTGCCTGTGTCTCTGCCTCTCTCTCTCTCTCTCTCTCTCTCTCTCTGTGTGACTATCATAAATAAATAAAAATTTAAAAAAATATATGCGTTATTGCCTCTTGCCAGGGAAACTGGGTTATCAATAAATAGTCCAGACTGATCTGGAGTAGGTTACATGGAGTAGCTACTTTCAATGAAATACATGCTTTAAGAACCTTCTTTTATGTCTTCAAAAAGAAAAGTAATAATGCAAATGTTTATTAAAGCTCTGGTAAATAGTAATACTACAGTAATACTACAAGTTACAGAAACTTTATTTTTTTTTAAGATTTTACTTATTTATTTTAGAGAGCGAGAGTGAGAGCACGCGAGCAGGAGGAGGGGAAGAGGGAGAGAGAGACTCTCAAGCAGACTGTGCTGAGTGTGGAACGTGATGCAGGGCTTGATCTTGTGACCCTGAGATTATGACCTGAACTGAAACCAAGAATCAGCCACTCAACCAACTGAGCCACGCAGATGCCCTGAAACTTTATATTTTAACAGGACAAGTTTAATTTCTAGAAATCAAACAGTCACAAGCTTGAAATCCCTTGAAACAATCAATAAAAATGCTGCAAGATTAGAGCAGGGTAAAGATTTTTTCAACATACACTGCTATCAGTAACTTGTTTTAATTTAAAAAAATTCCCTTTTAAGATCTAAAAGTAAATGAAAAGTTAATACCTCTGAATCCTAAAGTTTGACCATGTTCCCTATATTTCTAATTCTTGAAAGATCTTCCTAATAATAATAAGCCTTTTGTTTTGGTATTCCTACTTGTAGACATTTTATATGATTCAGCAAAAAAAAAAAAAAAAGTAGGCTCTCTATTGAAATAATCACATTCTCGTCTACAAAAACATAACAACACCCATTACACTATTTTGAAAATCTCAAAGACAAATTAAAAAGTGAGGCATTTAAACATTCCTGTGAACTATTTAAGTTTAAAAATTACTTCTAAAAAAAGAAATTACTTCTATGTTTTAAGAGGAAGTTAGGCAGTTGCTAGTATTTCTATTTCTGACAAACATCTAAAGCAGGAAATCAGAAGAGTCTGATAAAAGTAAAACTATCCAAAAGAAATGAAAATATCACTTAGGAGAAAGCATGCTAAGATCCAGTTGCTAACAATATTCAAACTATTTAAAGTCTCTAGGTCCAATACCACCGCATTTTTTTCGCCTATGATTAAGACTATAATAAACACATTTCATACAGTCCTAAGTAGGCACAAGCTGTTCTTGTCTCCAATAGTGAATACCCTCCTAAAAAGTACACGATACAAAATGAAACTTAGGAAGTTTTTACCAAGAGAAAAAAAAAATGTTCAAATGTCATCTAAGATTTAAAAAAAAAGAAAGAAAAAAAGGAGCATATATTATAGTACCTGAACCTAATACCTGAACTTCTATCAAACTCATTTCTCTCTAAACAGAGATGAAAAGGCTGCCTAGGTGGTTAAGGTCCAACTTTTGATTTTGATCTCAGAGTCATGAGATCAAGCCCCCACCCCCAGTCAGGCTCCAACAATGGATGTGGAGCCTACTCAAGATTCTCTCCCTCTGCCCCCTGCTTGCAGCATGTGCACTCACCCTCCCTCTTTCAAGAAGGAGGAGGAGGAGGGGAGTAGAAGAAATCTTAAAGGATATATGCTTAAGGCAAAAGAAAAATGATCTTAAATATAAGATCAAAGATGCAAATACTAATGTAGAATGAAAAAAATTAGTAAATATTTGGGTAAAATTACTAAACACCAGCTGAATAGAGTAAGAATAGAAATATTTTATAGGGCATTCAAATACAGTATCAAAATAACGGACAATGATAGCATATCAGTTGGAAGGTGACTAGATGGGAGTCAAAAGTCCATTAAGTCCTAGTACAGAAAAGGGAAAAGGCACTGATTAATTTTGTTAAATATGCATACTTGCTGTAATTTCTAGACTAATCATATAGTCTCAATAAATAATGTTGCTTCCAAACAGAAAGAAAAAAAAATGAAAAGATTAAAAAGTTTTAAGAGATAACAACCAACAAGAAAATATGTGACAAAGTATATGTAGTAAAATGGTAAGATTAAACCTATATATTTACCACTAATTCAACCATGCAAATGAAATAAATGCTAAAATCAAAAGAAGGCACTATTTTTGAACTAAGTTTGTAATATTTTTTTTAAAAGGATAAAGAATGGTTGAAAATAAAAAGTAAAAAAAGATACATATGCAAATACCAAATGAAAGCTTAATGTAAGACAATTTATACCTTCAAGCGAAAAC